ACTTTCTAAATTATTATATATTTTTTCAATTCATTTAATTTTTTTTATCTCCTATTTCTAATTCTAAAACTCTTCTATCTTTTACGTTCTCTAGATTCTAAACATGAAACGCGTCATTTGAGAAAAAAAAAATACAGACACCAAAACAGATATTAAAAAATTTGCAAGCAGAAAATAATATTTATTTCAGTTACATTATTCTTTCTTTTGCTGTCATGAACCGTCTACTCTTCGATATGTTTTCTTTTTGCTTTTGTATGGTTTCGTTTTTGTCGGCGCTAAGTCAAATACATATGTAGCTGAGACGGCGAAAGTTGTGAGGGTGCGTACATATAGATTGATATATTTAWGTAAATAATTATTTCCAAACGTTTTTTGCGCTTATTTAGGGCCAAAGATTTGTTATTTTTCATTTCCTTAAACTTTCGACAAAATCAGCAAGGCAGAAGTGTGAGAAAAAATGGCGGATAATTCGTTATACAAAAAAATCGACGACGACAAGCGACAACATAGCGGAAGCTGAATAAAATTTGCAATAAAACCACAACAACTTCTTGATTATTAATTTTTTTCTTTGTTTTCTTTAAAAGCATATAAATTAATTTTTTCTTTTATAATTATTATTTTTTGTTTGTATTGTTTTGTTCTTCATCTTTTCTCTTTCGCTCTTTTAGTTGTTAAATGTTTGTTACTACTACTTATTATATAAATACAAATACATACATACATATATATAAATGTACTATATATATATTATGTACGCTCAATTTTTATACACTCATTCGAATTGCGCCCAATATAACAACAACAACAATAAATGTGTTGCCTGGAAACTCATATTACTCATTTACTTCTTATACACCATAATTTTCGCTTGCGAAACTCCTCCCAATTTGAATTTCAATATTCATTTCATTTTTTGTTTTTGTTGTGGGTGTGGGAAAATATTTCCTTAATAAACGTTATATATTCAGAGTCACTGATTTTCGGTAAACTAGCTTAAGATTAAAGCTTAGGAATTAGAATTTAAATAAAATGCTAACTAAAATTTAGTTATGAAGTCATATCGATCGGGTACTTTGTGTACGTATGTGTATGTATGTAATAGGTAGATGTGATATGCAAAGGAACGTTTTGTGTTGTTTTTAGTTTTTAAAGGAAAATTCAATATGAAAAATAATACGAAATTAGTTTTTGGWTTTGCCAATAAATGAAAATTTTTTGCCAACAAATTATCACTTGCCACAAGTATTAATGCAAAATTTCTGTATTCTTATAGGCAGAAAAAAGAAAACATGGAAAATATTAATAAAGTGAAACCAAAAAATTACAAAATATTGCATTTAAGGCAATACAAATCAAAACAACTGTGAAGATAAACAAAAAAGTGATATTTTAACAATTTCGAATTTTTCGAAATCATAAAAAGTTGCGAATTTTTTATACAAATAAGTAATAATGTAATAAAAAAATTAAGATGCATGTAAAAACTGGCATTTGAACAATTTCGAATTTTTCGAAACCGCAAAAACTTGAGAATTTTTTTTATACAAATAAGTAATAATGTAATAAAAAAATTAAGATGCATGTAAAAACTGGCATTTGAACAATTTCAATTTTCGAAATTGAAAAAAGTTTCGTATTTTTGTGACAACCAATTAATAATGCAATAAAAACGTAAAATAAATTGAAAAAACTACATTTAAAAAATTTTGAAATTAAAAAAAAATATATTAAAGCAAATATTTGAGGAAAAATATTGTAAATAACTTGGAAAACAATAATAATAAATATAAATGAAATAATAAAATAAAAAATAAAAAGAAAGCAAAATTAAAAGCATAACCTTTAAAACTTGTTGGCAGATTTAATGGCAAATGAAACAATGAAATTAGTGTTGGTCTGAATTATCTTAATGTTTTATAATAATGTATAATTTATGGAAAATAACTTCATTAAACGGAGCAACAACGATAAATCGGATTAAAAACAAAAGCAAATTATGAATAAATTCTGAAAATCTGAACCCGATATAAGATATAAGCTAGAGTTTTAATTATTCACTTCTTGTTTTTGTCTTCCTTATCTATAGGTATGTAGTGTATGAAATAATGTGGTTTACGCTTAATACATAAATTATATTAATAGTAATTATTATTTAARGTTGGAACTATGGAACGCACAGCGGTCGTTATTGTTACGGATTTCATTAGCAAACTAGCTTTATTAATATAATTTCTTTGCTTGTTGGAGAGTACAGCAAATTTTACTATGAAACAAAACTAAWTTGAATAAAAGTTGTGAATTTCGAAAAAAAAAATAGAAAAAAAATGTTTTAAAACACTTGCAAAGTGGTTAGAAAATGCTGTGGTACGGCAAGTTTAAGTTAACATTTTTACACCAAAAATAATTTTTGTGAACAGGTAGTGTAGAAAAGTTGAATKCGAAGAAAAAATTTAACTTCGAAAAAATTCGAACATTTGAAAAATTTTGAATTCTAAAACTTGTGATCACAATTTGTAGGAAAATTTAATTCGAAGAAATAACGTAGCTTCGAAAAAATTCGAACATAGAAAAAATTTTGAACTTTAAAAAAAATTTGCACAAAAATGTAAAATAACAGTTGTGGGCAACTTCCAAACACTTATGAATCCATTTATTGCAAAATAATTGAGTGCGATATTTGGTTTTACCGAAACTAATATGCATAAAACTGAAMTTTGTCGAAGAAATGATCACCTAGTTTAAAGAGGTGCGATTGTTGTTGTAATAATAGATTTTTCATCCGGTAGATTATAATTATAAAATGCGCCAATTAACAACAACAATAAACATAATTGAAATTAAATTAATTTTTAAATTGTTGAACATAAAACCACTCTTGGAGATTAATATTCCAACGCGTTAGTAGAATTCGTTTATATATACATATTCAAAACTCAATCATACGCAATTTACAATTTTAACGTTTTAAAATCGAAAAATATAAGTTTGCTGTMAAAATCTCATAGTAAAAATAACCGCACTTTTCAATGCCCTCGATATCATGCCACGCCTACCACATCGGCTGCAGCTCCACATACCAGCTAATGCTAATATTTAGGTCAACGCTAAAAGTAATTTATTTCACTTCTTATTTGTTAATTAAAGAGAGTATCCCCTAACTACCTAGCAGTTAAACATACATATTTACAGAGTTGTATTTTTAGTCTATTTTATACGCTTATGCCAAATATAAGTTCGTTTTCTATACATTTAATTGCATTGAACTGTACCTAGTTGTTYCATTGTGTTACACGCAACTGTACTTTTGAGTCTATCCGCCGTTGTTTGCCGTTCTTCAAACGACACCCACTAACYGCGCGCCTGCCAAGGGTAGCCAGCGCTGCTCCAGGTGGACGCGCTAAACTTTCTGCGTTGCAACGCCTGCGCGCACTTGACGCTCATTTGTTATAGCGATGAGCGCGTGCGCGCGCTTATATGAAAGTGTTGCGCGTCGGCACCGTGCAGCATATGCGCTGCATCAGCAAGCATACTAAATGATGTACGGTTTAACATCCTACTAAAAAGAACACAACATACGCACAACAACGCCAGATACAGTGCGCGCCTATAATACTGTCTCAGTAATTCGTGTAGTTAAGATAATTAAGCGCGTCCGACACGCGGTCAGCCGCATGACAACAACAACATGACATACGCGCGCGTGTCACTTGTAAGTTACAGTGTATTAACCAATTCGCCTCACATTGCGTTTACGTTGCATCACGTTGGTCCATTGCTACTTCTATTACCCGACCTATGGGCCGCCGCGTTATCGACGCTGGAGTGCGCGCTGTTATCGGCTAGCGGATCAAGTGGATCGTTGACGTTTGTAGCATCATTGTCGTCCACATCGGACGCGCCGCCCATGACGGCTGCGCGCATCGTGCCGCTCTTGGGCGTTTTGAGTAGCCAACGGTGCAGCGTTGTTGTGCCACTACGTATGCTGGTGGCAGCAACGCGCGCTTTCGGCAAACGCTTACGTTGCGCCAACGCGCTAGGCGTTTTAGTTGTTTTCGTCATGTGTGCTTTGCTATACGGTGTACTAACCGCTGTTGTGGTTGGTGTAGCGTGCGCTAATTTAGTTTTATGATTACTGGTGGCGTTCTCAGCATCACTGTCCATCAAATGATCTTCCTCCGCGGACGCTGTCGCACCAATCATATCTTCCGACTCCTCCAATTGCGCTTTACTACTGCCGTATGCCGATGCAGTGGTATCTTTCATCGCACTTAAACGGCTGCGTCGCTTCATGCGCACCACTGGCGGCAGCACCGGACTCTCATCTAGTGTCCAAAGATTGATTTTAACTGCACCGCGTGAACGCGTGCGCGGACTGTTCACATCGACATGATTCTGGTGCATGGCGATTGCGTTGGGCGTTGCCGCTGACGTTTTGCTAACGTTTGACAAGTTAGCCATGGCGGCCGCGCCGCGTTTTGTCGCCGATGCTGTGGGGTGATGCAAACGCGCGAGTGGCGTTTCGTTTTCTTCCGAGTCCGTTTCATCCGACACATTGTAGTATGTGGAGTTCGTCGTGGTGGTGTCGTGTATTTGCGTGTGCGCATTCCACACGTCCAAACTGTTGGAATTTGTTGGCGCATCCGAATCGTTACGTCGTCGTCGTTGGCGCTGCTCATTGGCGTATGCATGCGTATGCGCGGCGTGTGCATAGTTGGCTTTCTCACTTTCGCTTTCACCGCTACCATTGTCTATGACGCGTTCACCATGCTCGTCATTCTCGTACAACTCGTCGTCGTCAATGTCTTCGACGGTGTCAAGCACAGTTACATAGCTAGCCGCATCCTCGTTTTGACTGTCGTCCTCAGCAGCGTCGTCACTATTGTTTTCCTCATCTTCGGCTGTTGCTGCCGGCAGCGGCGGCGGTGATATATTACTGTTGCGCACGTTGTACTTTCGGCGCTGTGTGTAATATTTGACCGTTGAGTTCTTACGTAATGTTGCCGCCTTTGTTCTTTTCGTTTTGCTAGCGACCTGCTCGTGTTCTTCCGCATCCTCTACCTCCTCGCTCTCCGGCGCATCACTCTGTTCCTCAACATCGTCGCTGCAATGGCTACGCGCGCTATCGTACTGGTTTTCTCCATTCTCCGCGTCGTCGGCCGTATCGACTTCGGCTTCATCAGCGCTCTCTTCTTCTTCGACGGTTTCTTCTTCACTATCACTGCGCTCGTTGTCACTTGCCGTTTGCTCCACCTCTTCCTCATCCTCCTCGTCATCGTCGGCTGCAGCTGCCGCCTCTTCCTCCTCATCAGCGTCTTCCGCTTCTTCCCCTTCTTCATCATCATCCTCATTCTCCTCTTCCTCGCTTTGCTTGTGACTGTACGTGCGCAGTYGCGCCTTATTCGCATTCGTCTGCTGACTGCTACGCAGTTGGCGCCGCTTGCCCGCGCCCCGCGCTAACGCTTTCTCCTCCRCTACTTTTCGCTTTGCGGGCTTCATTTTCGCCGCTSCTGCTCCGTCACTTATTTTGCGCTTGCGCATAGTCACCGCAGCCGTAGCCTGGAGCTGTTTGCGCTGCTGCAGCAGTCGTCGTCGATTCAATAAACTTTGATTTTTCACACCGGTCGCATTTCGCTTCGTCCCCACTACTACGCCGCGCTTATTACTCCGCGCATTATTGGTCTCGACTTCGTCGCCCTCGTCGTTGATGTCACTGTCGTCGTCGTCATCTGTATCCGCATTAACTGCGACCGCTGCTGCTGCTGCCATTGAGGTGCGCGTTGTCTTTCTAGTGGATTTCATTGTGTTTGTCGTCGTCGTCGTCTCCTCCTCAGCCTCATCTTCTGACGACGCTGTGGGTGACGACGACGTACGATTTGTTGCTCGCGCATTACTAGCGGCGCTACCCTTGGCAACACGTTCATGYTCAACACTGTTCGCTCTACTCCTACTACTATTCGTATGACTAATAATATTGTTATTTCTCATGCTGCCTACAGTTCGGCCACGCCAACTCTGGCTGSCAGCCCCCCGACGGCGTTTCACTGGTGAACGCCTGTCTAACACACTATTCTTACGTGCCTCGGTGGCACGCCTCGTACCCTCACCACTACTACTGTTACCTCTACCGTGCCTGGCGACTTTACCACCACGTCCTAATCTTTGTTGTTGTTGTTGTTGTTGCTTAAGTACTCTTCTACTTGTCTTAATCATAGTTTTTGTTCTAATTGTAGATCCTTGATTTTTATTATTAACCTGATTGCTTGCATCCTTGCGATTGTAGGTGAGCATTTCATCGGCTTCAGCCTCCTTTTTCAGCATCTCCTCTTCCTTTTGCAGTGCCGCCAAACGATTGGCTTCCCATTCGCGCTTTTGTGCTTCGATTTCCTCCTCGGCGGCGCGCAATTGTTCGGCCGTCCAGGCGGCGCCGGTTTCTTCTACGAAACGCATGGCGTAGCGTTCGATCGGCGAGAGCTGTGAGAGTAGAGTAAATGAGAGAAAATTGATTTAAATAAGAATCGGAAAGATTGTAAAGCACTTGAGTAGCTGGCGCTGCAGTGTATGCATAACTGTCCGACGTTGAGTGATATAATCAGGCGTTTACATTCGCTTTGACTATGTCTGAACGTCGTTGAAAGCTTTCTATGGGCACCAAACAACCGCGTTCAAACATAAGTGTTGCATTGAACAATTGGAAGTCTAATGCCGTCGTCGAAATTATAATAAAATTCTAAATATTTCCGTGTGACTGTGAGAAGCATAGATGAGAACTCGATGATTCGATTTCGAGGATGCCCATCTAAGGACATAAGGATATCTCTGATAGATTTTAAGGGCCGTCTCATGAGAAAATCAAGAGAATCGTGTTCGTTTGACAAATTTGGATGAAATACAGATGCAAGGCTTAACCTTGCAGTAGATTATATATCTCTATGACTACCGGGTCCATGCCGTCGGTATCTGGTAGCTTTTTTAAAAACTACCTCAGGAGAAAATCGAGCTAGTTTGACAAATTTGGACGAAAAGCAGATCAGTGCCCTAACCTTAGGGGAGAGTGTGTATGTATATTCACGACTGCCGGGTCCATGTCATAGGAATCGCCAGAATTCATGTGTATAACAAGTCGTAGGTCTTCTTAGAGAGAAGAGTGCTACTTGTATAAAAAAAAGTCGGAACTTATGGAGAGCTAATCGATTCCCAGAACAGCCGGTTCTGTTACCGAAATCGTCCCGGATTTTATCCGACTACTACTATTTCTATTACTGGCTACGACAACAACAGCAATGAACAGTTAGTCAAATTTCGAACACTGTCGAAATTTCACCTTTTAAAGATTCTACGACGAATGAGTTCAATAGCTAAAAGAAATCAAATTTCTTGCGAAAAAGGTAGGTTATAAAGTGATCTCGTTATAGCTGCGTCTTTTTGTTTATTCCAACTTGAGGTTTAGACGATCTCATATACAATTCCCCACAAATGCCGGTTCTACGATACCGAAATTGTCTCGAATTTTATCCGGCCGAGGGCGGTTATTTCGAGAATCCAACCCTTTTTGGAATTAGGTAAGTACAAGTAAAAATACGATCACATAGCGGTCATCTAACGGTAAATACAGCATGGTTGGACCATAAGAGGAGGTGATAGACGAAATAGTCTTTGTAGAGATTAGAGTTTAGATTATCAAAAGAGAGTGAATAGTTTCAGTTTGTAGTTGTTGTTGTAGTGACAGAAAACATTCCTGAAGTCATTTCGAGAAAAGGTGCCGAGTTGACAACTTACTTGGAACTGACTGCCGCGCGAACGGGAGTTTCAGGGTTCTTAACCATGGGTGGTGGTTTTAGTTACAGCGAAGACATTTCAGAGATGACAGACCGCAGCCGGTTACATACAAAATCGGATGCCTCCAGATACAAATAGTCCCGACTTCGTATGGGAACCGATTTTCATTAGATCAAGTTCATACGGAACTTGGAATGTCTTTAGCAGTTTTTTTTWWTTTTWTTTTTTATAAGTTTAAGTTAAACTACAATGCAAGGGTTTATCAATTTCAACACAGCACTCACCTGCTTCACTAGATTTTGCATTTCCAAATCGGCTCGACTCATCTCCGTCGTCGCGGCACCTTCGCCTCCCATTGTCGCCTCATCGATGGGTATGGTTTCATCAAACTCGGCCAAATCGGCGGCAGCTTCGGCTTTAGCCGTCTTGGTGGCCTGCACATCCTGCTCATCCTCGGCAGCRGCCARRGCGCTCTCAAACGCACGCAACGACTGCTTCTCYGTCTCAATTTCACTGCCCAGTTCACTAACGATCGCCGCGGCAGTGCTAGTAGAGCTTGACGGTTTGTCAGCGCGTGTGCCATTCGCAATTGCAGCATCAGAAGCACTACCATTGCTGCCATCTTGGTCGGCTTGTTCCAAATTGAAGAGATCCTTGATGGTGGAACTCTTGAAATAGGTTGTAGTAAAATTACCGCCCTCGATAGCCATATCGCTGAGCATACGCTTTTGATTGGCCTTCTTCAGTATGTTCACCTCAATGGTTTTCTCCGATACCAGGCGATAGATGTGCACATCGCGTGTTTGCCCGATWCGATGACAGCGATCTTGCGCTTGCGCATCCATTGTTGGATTCCAATCGGAATCGTAAAATATCACAGTATCCGCGCCGGTTAAATTTATGCCCACACCACCGGAACGTGTCGACAGGATGAAGCAGAATATGCGCTTGTCACCATTGAAACGCTCCATCAGCACTTGACGCTGTTCGACGCGTGTCGAACCGTCCAAACGCAAATAGATGTGACCATGGTAGTTGAGAAACGCCTCCAAAACGTCCAACATTTTCGTCATTTGCGTGAAAATGAGCACACGATGCTGCTCAGATTTTAGCTGACGCAATAGCCGATCGAGTGTCTGCAATTTACCGCAATCGTATTGTATGAGTCGCGGATCTGGGAATTGTGTGGTCATTGCCGAGATCACCGGATGCAGTAATGACAGTTTCGGTGAGACATATTGCGTGACGCGCTGTTCGATGGCGCGCTCGCGTTGCAAACGCCCCGATGTCAGGTGCTGCACGAAGAAACGTATGCGCGGCGCACAAGCCGACGGCACGTAAATCACGAAATTACCGAATGTTTGTCGCAAATCTTCGACGCGCTTCTCATACGACTTGAGTATCTTGCTGAGTGTCCAACTGTCGCGACGCGCCATGGCCGTACTACAATTTGTATGACTACGCGTTTGCCACGTGGTGTACTCCAAGGTTTGATTGGGTTGCACGCATTTCACCAGCGCATCACGACAATCCTCACCGTAGATGGGCACACCCTCGATGCGTCGTCGATTAACAGTCGATAGCAACTTGAGACGGGCAATGCGCTGCTCCTTACGCTTCTCCAATATCTCTTGCATATTATATATGGGATCGCCTTCGGATGTTTCCGTTGATGTTGTCTCTTGCTCGTCAACGTCCATTGTTGTAGCATCATTTGTCGCATTTTTCACCTGCTGCGCAATGGTGCTTAACAATTTCTCCGCTTTCGGTTTAATGCCTACATTGGCTCTGGCGGTGCTTACAGCTTGTATGTTTGTCTGTCCGCTGCCACTCTTACACACCAACGTCAAACGATTGCCCGCCGCATTACCACTGCCGCTTATTGTGTCGCTCAAAGCGCTGCTACCAGCGGAGGAAGTAACAATAAAATACTCCTTACCGCTGCCATGTTGCACGAGCTTGGCGATTTTCGCTGCCGGCGGCGCCAGATTACCGCTCGCTGGCGGTGCAACTTGCACACGCGTCACGGATATGCCGGTAGCGGTGCGTATATTACCAATGCCGCTCACGCCACTGCTGCCGCCACCGCTAGCTGTGCTGTTGGTTACCGCCATGGCCGCTGTGGTCGACGAAGTTGAGGGCGCCATTGAGAGTGCGGGCATTTTGGACATGTTCACCGGATTTATATTGTTCAAGCGCTTCACAAGTCGTATATTCGCGGTGTTCGTCTCACGCAACGGCACCAGTTTATTGCCTTCGGTGCGCATGGCGGGACTGGCGCCGACGCGCACTGTCGCTGTGCTGTGCTGGCTCAAATTCTGCTGCACTTGTTGATCGCGTACGCGTATGTAGAATTTGAATTTGCCACGCGGGCAGGGGGGCGGCGGTGCGGGCGCGTTGTCGATTTCCTCAATCAGCTTACGAGGTGCTTCGAGTACGCGTGACTTGTGCGAAACGTAAGCGGTGARTGTGAGCTCCAAATCGATTAGCAATAAATTGAGCGCATGCAAATCGACGTGCTGCAAGGAGAGAGAGGGGGGAATATTGCATTAAAATGTATTATTTACATACATCAAATGTGGGATTTGCATCTATTAGCTGTGGTCATTGGTGACGCGTTGCATTCTAGGTTATCTATAAATAATTATTTTATGACATTTTGCCTGAACTTTGTGCGATTTAATGTTTGTATTAAATCAAATTTTTTTCTCTCCTTTTATTTCGCTTTGTTTGTGCATATATTTTATTCACCACCGTTCTGGGCGCGACCTTGATGCTTTTCGAAMAACTTTTGTGGTAGTAAAAATATGTGTGGAAAGTGAATATAAATTCTTTAGCGACTTATTTGTCGTCACAAACTTGGCACAAGGTCAATATTTGGTGTGATTTTCGTCCAACGCGAACTTTATCCATAGTAAATTACTTAAAGACACAAAGGAGTTGCGAATATACATACATATTTCGATCTTCTAATAAACTAAATCAACCTTTTTAGTACTTTTTCAAAACAAATCCATCAAGATTACCTTGCTCTTATTGCTTAATATTATAAATATAAATTTTGTAAAAACTATCGATAAATGGATGTAGTTATCGATAATATTAATAGATAAAACTATCGATGTTTTGTGGATTATTTTTTCTTCAACAATTGTCTGGGATTTCCAATTTACGGATCGGTATAAATGAAACTTGACATTGAAAATATCGATAAATTATTATCGGAAAAATTTTATTCATAGAACGAAAATATTGTTAAAAAAGAACTAAACAATTCAATTCGTTTTAATTACCGATAATATTAATCAATAAAATTATCGATGTTGTGTGTGTTTTTCTTCAACAATTGCCTGGAATTTCGATTTTATGGATCGTAATAAATGAAACTTGACTTTGAAAATATCGATAAATTATAATCAAAAAATTTTTATTGGTAGAGCAACGATATTTTTTTAAAAATAATGAAAAAATATAACTCGTTTTAATTATCGATAATATTAATCGATAAAATTTAAAATATAATTATTACAAATAAAAAAATGAAAGTAATTCGTTTAAATTACAATAATCGCAATCGATAAAAAATATAAGTGTTTTGTATAATTTTTAATCTTGAAAAATAATCTAGGATTTCCATTTAGTGTTCATGTTAAGTTCAACTTGGCAATGAAGATATCGATAAAGTATAATCGGAAAAATTTATTCGTAAAACAACGATTGTATTTGCTGAAAAACAAAATAGAGAATATAATTTTTATAAAAGAAATGAAAAATTAAAAGGAGCGGTATTGAAAAAGTATCGATAATTCGTTTCGTTTCAATTATCGATAATAGTAATCGATAGCAAATATTAATGATWTGTGGCATTTTTATTCTTTAAAAATCATCTAGGATTTCCATTTTATTGTTAATAATAAATTTATCCTTCCACTAAAAAAAATTAATAAGGGGGGAAATTTTGTTGGTAGAACGACAATAATTTTTGTCTAAAAACATAATTTTTAATCAAACAAACCAAAAATTAAGAGCAACAATTATTTTCGATAAATTTTTAAAAAATAAAGCATTTTTTATTTTTTAATTGTTCTCTTTTTTCAAGTACATTTAATGGCCGAAAGATTAATCGATTTTATTCATCGAAAATAATGTAAAACAACTCTTATTTTCGAATGGAAATAATTAATGAAAAAATGTGTAGTTTTTTATGTAAAATTAAAAAAATTAAGAGTAAAGGTTATTTTCGATAATTTTTTAATTAAAAATAAACGATTTCATTCATCAAAAATAATATAAAATACCAGTTATTTAGAAATCAATTTAAAAAAAAATTATTTAACGACAAATTTAAAAATTAATGATTATTTTAATTATCGATAATATTGAAGTTTTCAGGTGGCAATAAAAAAACTCAGCGTCGAAAATATCGATAAGTTGTAATCGGAAAAATTTTAATCAGAACTTCGGAATTGTGCAATTTCAACAAGATTTAGGTAAATATTTTATTTAAACTTGTTCTAGAAATTTATATGATTACAACAACTATGCAAAGTGTTTCAAACAGTCGACAAGATGTTTTTATTTTAGTACATTTCTACATGTGCTTTTAGACTATACATCGAGAGTTCATCTAACAATAGATTGAGCCCTACGAGCTTAGGCAACTTGAAAAGCGGGTTAGACTTGTGCGTTTGAGGCCACTTACGAAGAGGTGATCCATGTCATAAGTAGGCTTATTTTATAAGCGATAAACAAGAAATATTAAACAAAATATTAATTATTATTTTCCCTTAGAATGCAACACAATAATTACCAGAATCAATCAGACAAATGCCTCGCAAATGCGAACATCCTTTTTATTCCGAACCGCTCAATAATAGATTGGTTCAGAATGTCAGTGACAATTTATCATCATCTTAAAATCGGTAATACATAACATTTGCAATAAATTTTTAATCAACTTTATGTTAATCATTATTTGTTTTACATACCGTAAATGGATCGTATTCCAGCAGATCGTAAACAATTCTCGGCGCCTCATAGGTTATGCCATCCATTTGAAATGGCGATATTGTTGGACGCACTTCAAACATATTTGGATGATTACAGACTTTGCGCAGCTGCATGAGCACATTGATGACGCTCAAAAGGCTGCCGGTCTGCAGCGTTTCCTTGGTTCTATGAAATTATTATGATGACATAAAATTAGTATGGATTCAAAGAAATCAAGGTATGAAATTTCAAAGAAAAATCTTTGGCTACAAACTCACTTTGCGCGGCTCATAAAGTCATCGTACAAATAGCGCTGACGATTGGACAAACGACACATTACAACATGTTCGTATTTTTTCGGCATTTGTTTCTCGACTTCCTTTTTGAGGCGACGCAGCAGGAAGGGGCGTATGACCTGTTAGAAGAAATRCAATAAATATAGATTATATTAGTGGAGTTAATACAAGCAGGTTGGTGGATTGTATTACATACCTTGTGCAGGCGACTTATGAGTGTCTCATTGTACTCCATATTGCCTTCGATCATGCCGGTCATGGGATTTGAGAACCATTCTTTGAATTCGCGATGCGATGAAAACACATAGGGCATGAGGAAATGCATAAGCGACCACAGTTCCATCAAATCGTTTTGTAGGGGAGTGCCGGTAAGCAGCAAACGTCTGGAAATTAAGAAAATTATTACAGAAACAACAACAAAAATAACAAAAATGCATACAAAATAAAATAAAAAAAGAGATTAAATAAAAATAATTAATTGAGATGTTTTTAATAATTAA